AAAAGTATTTCATTTATTATTTTTATTTTATGTATATGAATGTATTACCTGCATGTGTGTAAGTGCACTGCATTGTGCGATGCCTGTGGGGATCAGAAGAGGGCATTGAATCCTCTGGAACTGAAGTTATGAATGGTTATTAACTGCCATGTGGTGCTGGGAATTGAACCCGGGTCCTCTGCAAGAGAGTCAGTGCTCTTAACCATGGAGCCATATCTCCAGCCCCACAGCTGGTGTTCTTAACCATTGAGCCATCTCTCCAGCCCCTGCTTTGCATTTTATGTCACTTCTAGGGATTTAATTCAAACCCTCATGTTTGTGTGGTAAGCACTTTATAGATTGAGCTATCTTTCCAGTCCTCAAATTATTTTTCTCAGATTCATATAGAAATGGTATTTTATCAAAATAGCCTTATTAGTATACCAACATGCAGTGTTGTACCCTTTTGATCTGTTCATGGAAGAAACCCGACATGAAAGATGTGAAGATTCTAAGTGGAAGATTATATTTTAATCAAAACGTAGCCATTAAGAAAGTAGGGGATTATATCAATCACTTCTCTCATCCTATACAAGTTGGATTGGAGTAATGGAACACCCCTCCCCAAAGAACAAAACTGAGCTTCTTTTTTATAAAAAAGGATTTTTTTAAATTTTGTGTATGTGTGAGGGCCTGCTTGTGTGTATGTGTGCTACATGCATGCCTGATGTACCTGGAGGACAGAGAATAGGTCAGATGCCCTGAAACTGGAGTTATAAGCAGTCATGAGCTTATTACCACATGGGTAATGGGAGCTACACTTCAGTACTCTGCAAGAGAAGCAAGTGCTTTTGACTGCTGAGCCATATCTATAACCCCAAAGATTTGGTTTGAGCTTTTTAAAAAAGGCAGCACTTGGGAGGCAGAGGCAAGCAAATCTCTGTGAGTTCAAGGCCAGTCTCGTCTACAAAGTGAGTTCCAGGCCAGCTGGGGCTACAGGGAAATCCTGTCTCAAAAAGACCAAAAAAAAAAAAAAAAAGGCAGCTTCCCAAATACTTGACTGGATAGGACTCAGCATGTATAGTGGAATACATGAGGACTGGTGGGGGGTTGAGGGGGGTGTCTAAATTTGACTAAGAACTATTGTATGAAATGTACAAAGCTCAATAAAAATTGTAAATAGGCAGCTTCTTACTGTGTAACTCTGGCTGGTCTGGAACCTACAGAGATCCACCTGCCTTTGCTTTCCGGATGCTGTGGTTAAAAGTGTATGAGTGTCTGTCTTGATGTTCAAAGACAGAAGTAGAACTGACTCCAAAGGGTTGCTCAGGTGAGACACTGAGTTTAACATCTGGTTGGGCCTTGACATAGTTCTTATCCTTTTTCAGCTCTGATCTTCCCTCTTTGCAGGTGAGGTAGACTGTGTCTTATGGCCACTAAAAATAAGACAGAAGTGACTGAATTTGTGTTGTTGGGCTTGTCCAGCAGGCCAGAGATGCAGCCAGTTATTTTTGGAATTGTCTTTATCATGTACCTGATGGCGGTCATGGGCAATGCCCTACTAGTAATTGTTGCTTGCTTGGACCCCAGGCTTCAGACCCCCATGTATTTCCTTCTCCGACAACTTTCTTTGATTGACATATTTCTGACAACCATCACTGTTCCTCAGATGCTGGTACACACACTGTCTGTGAATCAAACCATTTCCTATAACCGATGCATGATACAGCTGTTCTTCTTCATGGCTGTAGGGAGCATGGAAGGCCACTTGCTGGCCGCCATGGCATATGACCGCTATGTCGCCATCTGTGAGCCTTTAAGATACTCTGCCATTGTCAGCCATATCCTCTGTCTGCGCATAACCTTGACCTCATGGGTGATTGTCAGCCTTAACAGCCTCCTGTACAGTGTGTTGGTCACCCGTTTAACCTTCTGTGGTAACCAGGTGACCCACTTCTTCTGTGACATCACTCCTCTGTTGAAGCTCTCCTGCACTAGACCAGTGGTCAATGAAATGCTAATCTTCACTGAAGGTGTGGCTGTGGTGGTCAGCCCATTCTTCTTCATTTTAGGTTCCTATGCACGGATAGGTATTGCCATAGCTCACATACACTCTGTTGCTGCCCTGAACAAAGCTCTGTCAACCTGCAGTTCCCACATCCTGGTTGTGCTGCTCCTTTATGGCTCTGTGATTCGAATGTATCTCAAGCCATCCTATAGCTACGACTTAGACCAGGATCGCCAGGTTGCCATCTTCTACACAGTTGTCACTCCTATGCTAAATCCACTAATCTATAGCTTCAGGAATCAAGAAGTTAAAGGAGCTCTGAGAAGGCTGTTTAGGAAATCCTGCATCTCAGGCAACTTCCAGCCTGGCTTCCAGGCAAACAAAGAATGGCAGCACATCTCCTGAGAACTATGAATTAACCTGAAGATACCTCAGACTTATGCTCTTAATACCTTATAGGAACAACATTTCTGTGGGGACCTATAGGCCCCACCTTGCAGAAGTCTGAGAGGAAGTTACTGGGGCACGGCCTGACTTGCTTTGAAAGTCTGAAGAATACTTCTGCACTGCTGAGGAGTGCATGATCAGCGCCTGACCATCCTTAAGATACACCCTCATGGGGGAGGGGGGATTTCCAGGTGCCTTTATAAGCTCTGTAACACTTGCAATAAATGAGTCCCTGCTTGACTAGGCTCCCCGATGCGCTTGAGTGCTCCCAGTCCTGGGGGTGGCCCTGGGGGCCACCCTGGGGGTGGGCAAATGGCATGCTTACTCATCCCCAATCATCACTGCTTGGGGGTCGCTGGTTCAATCCCCCAGCAACTGGCGCTTGAAGGAAGGTGAAAAGAAGAACAGAAAGAAGAAAGAAAGAAGAAAAATGGATTGGGGCCAATCGGGAAGTTCAGGGACCCGACACTTAAAGTGCTGAGAGATATGCTTAAAAGCAGGGGATTGGATCTGTCAGATCTGGTAGCTCAAAAGGTTTGGGCAGAGGCGAGTCATTTGGCTCCCTGGCTACTTGGGGCTGATGTTTTTACTTGGGATACATGGGAACATGTGGAACGTCTAGCTTGACAAAGGGAGATTCAATTGGGGGTTGATCTGCCGCTGGAGTTCTACCCTATAATTTTGGCCTTAAAGGCATGCTTTTGGCCCAAGAGCCCTGAGGTGCTGCTTGTTACTTTGGCCACTTTTGGTTTCACTTCTGTTGCATTTCTGCATTCTTCCTCAAACTCTTCCCATGATTCCCATGCCGGGGGGGGGGGTTTCTGAAGGCTTGTCAGGAGGTGGTGCCGAGGAATGCAGGATATAGGCTGAGAGGGATGCAAGTGCCAACCCACCGGTCCCCATTACCTTTGGGATGTTGACTGGTTCAAGTGACCATCACACCACAGGGGAGCAACAGTCGGGCATTCCAGCTCCATATACAGAACAGGTCAGGGTCATAGGATTGAGTGCTTGGAGAAAATTGGATGAGGGGCCTACCGAATCCCCCCTTGCAGGAATTAATCAAAAGCCTGCTGAACCCCTCTACGAGTTTATAGACAGAGTAGAGAAAAGCTTAAAATGAAAATTACCCCCAAGCTCATTGAGGGAGCAATTCACTAAACTCCTGGTATGGGATGGAATGGATGCTGATTGCAAGATAGCCTGTGCTGGCCTTAAGGACAGGTCCATGGGACAATGGATAATTGCCTCCAAGAAGGTGGGAACCCAGAGGGGGCAAACCAAAGCCATGGCTGTTGTCTTACAGATGCAAACAGAGGCTCTGACCCATGCCCTAACCCAGGCATTTAATTCAGTTAATCTGGGATAGCAGGTAACAAAGGGGCCTAGAGGCATAGAAGGCTCATGTTTTGGCTGTGGTCAGACTGGCCATATTAAAAGTAATTGTCCTCAGCAAGAGAACTGGCCTAAGCCTGGAGGTGGGGTATCAAAAAGACCCCTATCTATGCCCTGTCCCTGGTGTCGCAAAGGGTTCCACTGGCAGAAGGATTGTAAATCCACATTTGATATTGAAGGAAAGCCTTTAAACTAAGTGGGGGGCAGCCTCCAGCCCCGTTTACAAAAGGAGGACTTCCCCATGATCAGCTACATTTACAATGCCCTTGGGGAGGGATCAGGAGAGGAAAAAATCCTATGGTAAATTGGACATTCCCTATTATCCCTGGTGTAAGGCCTAAGATGGATCTTGAAATAGGTGGCAGGAGGTTTTGCTGCCTAGTGGACACGGGGGCTGATAGAATCATTCTTAGAAAGGAGGAGGTCCCATCACGATGGCACCTAGTTTATGGGCCCCAAATCCTAGGTGTGGGAGGATACACCCCATCAGAGGAGACTCAAGAATGGCTCACCTGGCAGGATGCAGATGGAGCTAATGGGGAGGTGTGACTCCTGGTGGTGGCAGGGTTATCTGCCAACCTCGTAGGACAAGATATTTTGGGGGACGCACAGGCCTGCATAACCACTGATAGCAAGGCCTTTTATGATGAACTTTTGGACCTTGAAAAGTCTGATAGGCTTCCTGAATCAGCAACTCAGGGGTTGTCTCGCCATATCAATTACAGGGGGGACCCAAAGAAAGAGCATTGGGTTCACCTCCAATTCTAAGGGCCACTGCCCCTCAGGTTCCAGTGATCCGGTGGTCCCCTGGGGTGCCAGTATGGGTGGAGCAGTGGCCATTGCCTGAGACAAAGCTACAGGCTTTAAAGGAAATTGTGCAGGAAAAATTACAGTTGGGCCACATCCGGCCTTCTGTAAATGGCAAATGGAGAATGTTGCAAGACTTGCGTAAAGTCAATGCTAGAATTACCCTAGTGGGTACACCCTTAAGGGGACTGCCTTGGATCCCTGCTATTCCCTCAGATTTATTTCTTATAGTTAAGGACATTAGTTTTTTTCTATCCCTCTACCCCAGGATTGTGGAAAATTTGCTTTCTCTGTACCTTCCACCAATTTTAAAATGCCTGATGAGAGGCATGAATGGACTGTTTTACCCCAAGGAATGGCCAATAGCCCAGCATTCTGCCAAAGCTATGTGAAGACCCTTTTGGGGCCTGCTCACTTGCTGGCACATGACACTGTGTGCATTTATATGGATGATATAATCTTGGGAGCTCCAAGCCCCCAACAATTAGAAGAGTTATATAAGGTTACTCAGAAATGTCTACAGACAGGCAGACTCCATGTATCCACAGATAAAATACAGACTATTGCTCCCTTTAAAATTCTGGGAACCATACTGTCTTTGGAAGGAGTAAGTCCTTTAAAACCACAACTGGCTGTCAAGCCCACCATAACCCTGACAGAGCTACAAAAATTACTGGGAGAAATTAATTGGCTACGAGTCCGGATGCCTATTCCCACTGAGATTTTAAGACCATTGTTTCAGTTACTAGTGGGAAAACAGCCTTCAGATCTAATTCACCTGGCCCCTCAACACCTGGACATCTTACATGAGGTCCAGGATACCCTGGACTGAGCCCAACTTGCCCGGTACATGCCTAGTAAGATCTTGAGTTATGGGTGCTCTCCAGTGAGACCCTGATGACATCCGTCCTTACGTAGGGTGGGAAAGAAATTAATTGGCTATGAGCCTGGATGCCTATTCCCACTGAGACTTTAAGACCACTGTTTCAGTTGCTAGTAGGCAAACAGCCTTTAGAACTAATTCACCTGGCTCCTCAACACCTGGACATCTTACATGAGGTCCAGGATGCCCTGGACTGAGCCCAACTTGCCCAGTACATGCCTAGTAAAGATCTTGAGTTATGGGTACTCTCCGGTGAGACCTGGATGACATCCATCCTTGTGCAGGATGGGAAGCCCCTTCAATGGGCACATGCCTCTCTGGGAGGCATACCACGGGCTTATACACCCACGGATCAATTGGCTGACCTGATTGAGAAAGGATGTGATGTAGCTCTGAGACATTATGGCATATACCCTCTTAAAATTGTTATCCCCTATTGGCTTAGGGATTTTGAATGGCTCTGCAGAAATAATAACCAAGTAGCCATAGCCTTGGAAGGGTTCCTGGGAAATTTGAACTGTCATTATGGCCCTCATAAATGGGTGACCTCCTTTCGTGCCCTCTTTTGGGAAGCTCCCTGGCTCTTTGTAAGGGAGCCCTTAGTAAATGCCTACATTTTTCTCACTGACGGGGGCAGATTTGGAGTTGCAGTGGTAGTATACCCAGGGGCAGATGAGAAACCAAAAAGATATGTCCACACTTGTGATGGCTCAGCTCAATTCAAGGAACTTGTGGCCATTGCTTTCTGACAGTATTCAGACTCGTACGCTCCTTAAGGAGAGAGAAGCCCCTATCTTCTTACAGCATCTTAGGGGGCACCAAGGATTGCCTGGGCTTTTATCCCAAGGCAATGTAGAGGCAGACAAGATGGCTTATTGTGTACAGGTACCGCCTCTGCAACAGCCAGGGGTAAAC